TGCAGCTTCGAGCACCGGCCAAGCTGGTGTTGGCATTGCCCTGAGTCCCCGGGGTGAAGATGCTTTGGTTGATTGGATTCCAATCAGTAGCCGGATGTGTGCGGTCCGATTGGCTGGCTCGTTTAAAGCTTCGAAGTCGCGCGGGACTAATAGATGTCTGTTCATCATCGCTGCCTATGCGCCCACAAACTGTAGTGATGATTCGGTAAAGAACGACTTCTACCGCCAACTGAGCGAGCTCCTTCGCCACAGAAGAAGCACGGACACTGTTGTGTTGGCGGGGGATATGGACGCACAAGTTGGAAAGTTGTCCACTGATGAAATGCATATCGGCGGTCAGCGCGGTGTAGGCTCCCGTAATGATAACAGTGAGCGGTTACTTCATTTGTGTGAACATGCCCGCTTATTTCTTGCGAGCACTAATTTCCGACACAGCACCCGCCGGAGGGTGACTTGGCGCCCACCAGCCTCGAATCAGCCTTGGACGCAGATCGATCACATTGTGATAAGTTACCGATGGAGAGGCTGCGTCCAGAACTGTCACTCGATTTGGAGCACATGTGTGGACACCGATCATGCACTTGTATGTGCTGACATGCGGATGCGTTTTGGCGGACGCCCACGACGACGCTGTGAACGTATTGACACCGGCCAACCGACAAAGCCAGCTGTTCTAAATGCGTATCGACGTACGCTGACATGCGCTCACTGGGGACAATTGATGGTCACTGGTCACGTGTTCTCCAGACCTTACTAGCAGCAGGCAAATCCTCATGTGGTACGTCTAATGGCCAACCTGGATATTGGGTCGCTTCGCGGTCTCTTGAACTTATCGACGCTCGCCGGCATATCCCGGCTGGAAGCGGGCACAATGAAACTCGCAAAGAGCTCCGAGCAAAACTCCGCGCTAGCCTGAAGAGAGACCGCGAATCTTGGTGGTCTCATCGTGCGTCAGCGATGGAAGTGGCCGCTGCCCTTGGCTACCATCGTAAGTTATTCTGTCTGATACGGGAAACGGGGAGCAGGAGACCTGGTGTTAGTGAAACAATTTGTGATGAGAGTGGACAGCCTATCCACAGTTTGTTAAAAAGCTTGGAGCGTTGGGCTGAAAAGTAATTTAATCGGCTAGAATTGTTCGATTCGCCGGTCACTGATCGCCCTACTCCGTGGGCTGTCCCTTTGGATCCACCCTCTCGCTCAGAAGTCGAACGTGAGATCGGACTGTTGAAGTTAAACAAAGCCGCGGGACCAGATGATCTTCCTGCAACTCTCTTTAAATTCAGAGACTCCGCTCTTGTTAATGCTTTACATGAATTACTAGTTAAACTGTGGGAGCAGGAGACTGGCCCAACCGACTTTAGCCGCTCCGTTATTGTTCCCATCTTCAAAGGCGGTTCTCGCTCGGAATGCGGCAACCATAGAGGAATCAGTCTGCTCTCCATCTCCTCCAAATTACTCGCCTCCATCATTCTTCACAGACTGACTGGCGCTCGTGAAAGCCAGATTCGTGAAGAGCAAGCCGGGTTTCGTCGAGGTCGTGGCTGCATCGACCACATCTTCACCTTGCGTCAGTTGTTGGAGCACCGTCACACATACTGGCGGCCACCCTGGTCGTGTTCCTCGACATCAAAGGTGCCCTCGGTTCGGTTGATCGATGTGCCCTTTGGAATTGTCTACTCAGGAAAGGTGTGCCAGAGAAATATGTTAATATTATCCAAGCATTATACGCGCTTAGCACGGCAAGCTGTCGCCAACCCAAAATATCTCCAGCGGTGTGAGACAAGGATGCCCGCTGTCACCTTTCCTCTTCAACTTCGCCATTGACGAAGTCATGGAGATTGCATTTACAGGACATGATTTGGAAGGTGTGGAGCTACGCCCAGGAGAACGACTTCTTGCTTTGGAGCATGCAGACGACATTTCCCTCATTTGTGACAGCTCCCAGACGTGCCAAACCGCGCTGGACAGATTAGCACTGGCTGTCAGCCGCTTCGGGCTTTGCTTTGCACCATCGAAATGCAAAGTATTCCTCCAACATTGGCAGGGATCGCCTCCTGCGCTGACTCCTAGTGGGGATCAGCTAGAAGTCGCTCGGAAATTCAACTACCTGAGAAGTTGTATCAGCGCCCTTGGGATCGAAGACGAGATCACGCACCGTATAGCAAAAGCTCGAATTGCTTTTGCTAACGTTTGCCAGCTATGGCGGCGGCGCGATATTACTCTTGCCGTGAAGGGTAGATTGCACAATGCAGCGGTACGTTTGACCTTGCCGTACGGTTGCGAAACCTGGCCCCTAAGATGGGCGGACATAAAGAGGCTAGTTACGTTCGACCATCGGTGCCTTCGTAATTTAGCTCACATCTGGTGGGAACACCGCGTGAGTAACGAGCGTGTTCGACGCCTTGTTTGTGGCACAGAAAAATGAACTGGACCGCTCAGCACCCTCCTTTCACGCACAAGGCTCCGATGGCTGGGCCACTTCTTGCGCATGCCAAGCCGCCGAGTTCCACGACGTGCTCTGTTTGCTCACCGGAGATGTGGATGGAAGAAGAGTAGGGGTGGCCAAGCGATGGCTTGGTCGAGAGGAATGAAGTCCCTCACTTCGGAGCTGGCCTCGGTTGGAGCGTCACGGCTCCCTGGTTGGGGTCCAAAAGACGATGACATGTTTGGCTGGATACACTTGCTGATATGGCAAGGAGCCGACCTCAGTGGCGTTCGTGCTGTGAGTTTCTTTGTCCCTCCCCATCCCTTTAAGCCTCCCCCTCCATCTACGATCTCATTTCGTAGCGTAAAACATAATACGTTTTCTTCTAGCCTAGCAACCTGCTGGTAGCTTACGGGAACGATGCCTATCCGTTGCTGGTAGCTCAGCTAGCATGCAATTGTTGTACTTATTTTCCTTTTCCTTTATGTATTGCGGCACAGTAGCTGAGGTGTTTCCCACCTCTAGCTGACGTGTATATATATATATATATATATATATATATATATATGAACAGGGTTGGAATAAATATAATGAATTTTTCGGAGTAGCCAGACTTTATTTTTTACCTTGGTTTATTTGAAGGATCCCCTTCCCAAAGATAGGGTACTCTACTGTGTGTAGGAAAATAAACTATTAGGGACGGCGCGCAGCTGTACCTTGAGCAAACGCCGAGATAGCTAGGAGGACAAAACTTGGAATTCAAAGACGCCTTCGTAAACACTAAGAAGCGCAAGTGCATACAGGGAGTTGATAAGAAACATTAGGGAGTAGTGATGTGCGCGCTGAACACATGACATACGGTCTAATTAGCTAATGTCGACATCATTAAGAGAGGTTTAGGAGCAACCCTTCTTCCAGAAAGCAATTTCTGTGTTGGGAATCGCGAAAGCTAACAGCTGTATGAATACAAGCGAGGGGTATGACTCGTGACTACATTGTGAGCAGTCTTACTCAGGTAAGTCTGACTGGCATCGATGCGAAATGCAGATGAAATAGCGAAGGGTGACACCATTAGCATCATTCCCAGGGTCGTAATTGTCAAAGCGAAGGGTGGCAACATCATTCCTGGATTAACTGCGCTGTAAATGGACCAATTATGATGTCACCTCAACCTGTGCCTACCATAATCTCTTGACTCCTGCCCCCACTATCGTTACTATCTTCGTCGTGCTTTGCGAAATGCTGCACAAAAGATGTGCCTATTCATCTGACCTGATAAAACTTTGCGTTTAAAGTGAAATGTTGCCAAACAAATACATTAACCGATCGCTACCAAGTCTGTCTAGGCCGATGACTTCTCTATCGGTTCAAAGTATATTCCATTTCGAAGCACCAAGGTAGTTCAGCTAAGCCAATATGTGTCTATTCTAACACTGCTGGTGCAGGTAACTGTGTACATGGAGAAAAACACTAGGCTACCCCCTGCTTCAACGAGAGATTTTGAAGGGGGCCCATAGTAGTGGACACTCGATCTGCTCGATGAGAAGCGCAGATCAGTGCTTCTGTTTTCACGGCTCTCTGGGCCACCACAGGCTCCATTGGCCGACTTAACAAGGTGGATAGATGAGAAATAGCGTGACCATCTCCTCCGGTGACTTACACATCAGCGGCACGGACAGCATTGGGTGTTTCTTAGAGTCATGGCTTCCAACAACTGAGATACCAAATTACAAGTAACATCCGTTGCGTACCCGAGCAGCGTAAGTTTGTGGACTATTTCATATGAAATTCGCAGCGATTGGAGATTGGACCACACGACTTCTCTGCAATTTGCGTTGGCCACCAACGCTACAATGGTTGGGGACCATAATTACCTAGCTTAGAAGCATAGGGTTGTGGAGTTAGTTGAATGTGATGGGCGCTCGAATAGTAGCACAGGCCGCACAGTCGAGACTGCCGCATCATACGAGTAGTGAATTGCTGCGTGCAACTTTCTCATCAGCAAAGCAGGAAGATCATAAAGGTTGTGCAGTGCTGACTAGAATCCCAGTGTCACTCTTGCTGATGTAGTACACATTGCTTTACTCCGCTAAAGATAGTTATTTAATTGCAAACGAGAAACGTTCAGTACTCAGATAAGTCATAGCAACAAAATCAGCGTTCAACTGGTAGAAATCCGGTATACTTCTAGCAAAACTACTAGAGCATCTCAAAAATGTCTGGAAGCTAATGAAACAATTACGAATAGAACAAATAATGGAAGGTATGGTGCATCTATATCCAAGCTACTAGGCGTTCCGTAGCTAGACATTTATCAGAACTTTCGAGCCCTTCAACAATAAATGCAGTGAACATTTTTGGAGACTATGGATCTGCTAACCGAACGTGTCATAGAAACATAGCATCGGCAGCCGATTTTTCAATAACGTCCACTTAACTCTATATTATAATGATTTAGCAATAAATCAGCTTTAAAATACAATTGAGCTAGTACGCCAGTGAGGAAGGCGTCCAACATCAACGTCAAACTTGCTAATTTTGCCAAATTTACATAATTTGAGCTACTGTAACTCACAAATTCTCCGAGTGTGCGGTGAGCATCAGCCAATTCCAGTGACAACGAAAGTCTATCAGCAACCGACAGAGTGGAGCCGTCTGCTACCGTGAATCGTTTTCCGGTGCAAGTTGCATTTCCGGCGTTTAGTGAAGAGATGGTCTGCTTCAGCAGCTGTACCGCGGCTTTTGCTGAACCCTGCTTGAGCAGTAGACGTGCACGAACCAATTGGTACAATGGATGATTGTGAACCTCAAAATTATAACTCAGTCCTGTTTCCAATGCTTGTTCGGCCATTTTCAAATCAGACTGGTATAAATGAATCTGTAGCACAGAACAAAGAGAATAATCGAAATGTTAAAATTTTATAGATGATGAAAATAGAAAGGACATGATGAAATTGGTAATCAACTTCATGGGATTTCCTTGTAGCTGGGAGGCATAAATTCAGTGAGATAATCTCGTCAACTGAATGAGCGATATCTCGTTAGACATACGATTGTTAGTTAATTTGGCAGATTTCCTTCTTTTCGATAAAACAACCAGCCCCCTTTACAATATCTCCCATAAAGCTTGCGCACATGGGTGTATAAGCCAAACGGCGAGTTAACTGAGCGCAGCAGTTTCAGAGCATAGGCGACGCATGTCACGATTGCCGGGGAACAATTCCGGATACAGAGCTCTGACAACAGTTTCGGCGGTAGCAGTGCGTGCACTGGACGCTGATCATGATTCCAACTTTGGAAAAGTTATGATCATCAGCAGAGAACGGCAGTCAACCTCACAAAAGCGAATTATTTAGGCGGGGGAAATTGCAACGCTAACAACTGCGTGGACATGCTCAATGATATATCGCGGGTTAAAAGGCCAAAGTTTGACATGCTGATCAAAGGGTTTAAAAAGAAAATTATTGACGACGATAATCAGTGAACAACCGTTAACAGTGAACATGTCGGTCAATAGTTGCCCGCCTGAATCGTTTTGTTTGAGGAAGGTAGTACTTTTGTCGCATGTTAATATGGTGCCTCACCAATAAATACGGCGGCGTACCAACAATTGGTGTAACGTGATCAATGTGGCCACGACTTCGACGAAGCCCGAATTGCTCCTTGCGTATCTAGCGTTCACGAGTGCCAACAAGTCTATGAAGTAAGACATAGGCGCTTTTCCTAGAGACAAATGAGAACAATCTGATCCCTATACGGTTGTCGCATCACAACGTGAGCCCCGGTTGAAAATTGGGCTATCCCGGAGCAGCTTCGGTCTGTTGGGTGAGCTTTCCGCTCACACAGCTTCACAATTAAGTTGTGCAGATCATCTAAACGAGCAGATTCTACAAATGTGAAGAGAACTGGAGACACGCTATCCGCTCCTGCGGTCTTGTTCACTTCCAACAGTCGCACCTCACGTTCGACTTGAGCGCGTGAGAAAGGGTCGAGGGGGACTGCTCAAGGTGAAGGGTGGTCACTGGTCGATGGAGAAGTTGGTAACTCGAGTTGATTAAGCTGCTTTCCAGAGGATTCGGCACAAGGCTCAACGCGTTTTGACAAACTGTGGACCGGGCGTTTACCCTCTTCACGTATTGTCTGGTTAACACCAGGTCCTCTTTTGCACGTTTCTCGTTTCAGGTAGCAAAACTTCGATGGTTACCAAGAGCAGCGGCTATTTCCATCTCCGATGCACGATGCGACCACCAACCTTCGCTGTCTCCCTTCAGACTTGGCCGCAGTTTGGCTCTGACGTCTTTGCGAGTCTCGTTGTGTTCGCTACCAGATGGAAGGTGTTGTCGAGCATACAGATGTTTCAGAGACTGCATAGTGATCCATTCCCCTGGTCCGTAATTTAATTTGCCACATGAAGACACGTCTGATGATGGCAACGTCTGATGGATTCGGCCAGTGGTCCTCTGCTGTGTTCAGGGAGTGTTTACCCAGGTCGGATGCCAGCGTATTTTGGGATGCATTCAGCACATCTGGCTTCGCCAACTGGCAAGTATCCATGCGCTCACAGCGTCGCTGCATGCGCTCAACTAAGCGAACTGTAAGATCAGCACAAAGAGTGCGTAGTCGGAGTCCATGGTAATGCTCCAAATCGAACGACACTTTTGGATACATGCTCCTCTGCATAAGTGATCGCGATGTGATCCATTTTCGCCCATGACTGCTCTGAGGAAGGTAGACGTCATGTCACTGCGGTGGATGCTGTGTCGGAATTTATTGCGCAGGTGAAATCAACGTGAAATTCACACGGATGCAAAAGCGGTCACCGTTATTTTTACAGAGCCTACGCCGTGATGGCCGCCCAAGTGAGGCTTATCAACAGAAACTTCTCCAAAATGAGCGTCCGTATCTCCAGACAGCACTATAGTATGTACACTAACGCATAAGGGCTCCTCAGTAAACTTACCGAACTTCGACTAAGTCAGGTTGCGAATGCTTGGGACCTAATTTCTACTACCGAAAATTGGTTACATCAAGAGGTGACTGATACTGAGGTTGATATAGCCGGAATGTCACTCATCCGGAACGACCGCCCCAGCAGAAGGGGTGGGGTCCTACTCCACTACCGCAGCAATCTACAATGTACAATAGTTGATGGTCTGGAAACACACGTTACTGACGCAATCTGGTGTCGTCTCCGACTAAGACACAACGGCGCATGTCTCGTAGCTGTCGTTTACGGCCCCCCCAACGTCCACTCCGGAAAAGGAATTCCCGTTTGATCCGTGGCTTGAACAGAGTAACACGCACTAGGTACAGCCACATTCTCATCTCCGGGGACTTCAATCTATACGATCTGGAGGTTTCGGCATCGCCAAGTGAGCAGTTAAAAGCAGACTTGCATGCATTGATCGATACATTTGATACATTCGGGAATAAACCATCTATTTATTTATTTAATATTCCCTTGTACAATCATGTCACCACGCACACTAGATTCTGGACAGCAAACAAACCGTCCATATTGGACCTTGTGCTCACGAATGAAGAACTCATTGCTGACAAGCTATTGATGGATAGTCCATTAGGTCTCAGTGACCATGTAGTAATAACTTTCAACTATGTGTATTATGCAGAGTATCCAACTGAACACTCGGAACTAACTCATGCAATCACACGCTACTACGTATTGAAAGAACTCGCCGACGCAGCTGCTTGGGAATTCTCAAACAACATTCCCCTTGACAACGTTTGGACAGCTTTTGTTACTAGACTCAGCGACATCGTCAACAGAGCATCAGAGACCAAGCCCTTTCGTCCCGCAAAGGCCCTTCAATTATAAGGAGTAGGACTCGCAAATGCCTGGCGATGAGGGATGCAGCATGGCGTGCCTACAAGTTTAACTCCGACTCAGATACTTGGGGCAATTTCCTGCCCCTTCGCAACCAATTCACTGCAATTGTCCGTGAGAACAAGGTAAGTTATCAACAGTGCCTAGCCAAAAGTTTCATGGCAAACAACAAACTGCTATATAGGCATGTCAATAATCTTCGTAAAGTGAAGTATGGAATCCCTCCACTTTTCACGACAGGCGGTATAGTACAAAGCACCGAAGAAGCAGCTAATGCCCTGCGGTTACAATACGCTCCAATTTTCGAACTCGCAACCTCTACCTGTCCCATACTATCAAGCTCATTACCGACACCTCTGTTTACACATGTTAATTCTCAATCCATCAATTATGCTAAGGAAGTTACTCTCACTGCGTGAGCATAGTTCTCCAGGAGCAAACAACATCCGCCCGAAGGCACTGAAGGCTGTGGCCAACAGGCTAGCTGTAACACTGTCACAGTTCTTCCAAAGGTGCTTTGATGAACAACGAGTCCCCATTTTGTGGAAGTGTGGCATTATAACCCCTATTTTTAAAGGTGGTAGCCATTTAGATGCTGCGTATTATCACCCAGTGACTCTCCTTCCTGTGCTCGCGAAGGTGAAGAAAGCAGTCGTCGCTGAGGCTTTAATGGACTATCTGGAAAAATGCAACTTCTTGGTACCGGAACAACATGGCTTCCGTCCACACCGGTCATGCACCACCAACCTACTCATTGCACGAGGTAGTTGGACGGAAGTGGTTGATGATGGGGTCGGGGTTGACGTTATCTATCTGGACTTCTCCAAAGCTTTCAACCACCTTGATCACCGCATCCTACTTCAACGGCTACAGAGCTACGGAAACAGACATCCTGTGCTTGGTTAGATTGGCAGCTAACTTCACCAACAGAAGCTTCAAGTACACGCAATGGAATCACTCTCTAAAGCGGTTGAGGTAGAATGTGGTGTCCCACAAGGCTCAGTGTTGGGACCGCGCTTATTCCTGGTGTTTATCAACGACATGGCATCAATTATCTCCTCAAATTTCCTGCTTTTCGCCGATGACGTCAAGATATGGTGGGTGATTAGTAACAAGACCGATCACGATCTGCTCCAACATGACCTAGATTGCATTTACGAATGGTCACAGGGGAACATGCTCAATTGAACATAGCCAAGTGCAAAGTGATACAGCTGCGTCACCAGCCGGTGAGCGCGTCCAAGATTGGGGACCACACCTTGGCGGAGGTCTCTCAGGAGCGTGACCTGGGTGTATTGGTACAGGAAGATCTCGGGTGTTCAAAACAAGCAGAGAAGGCGACGAGAATCGGAAATCAACACATCGGCCTTCCTCGCAGAGCCTTCGGTCGGTTTGAACCCTCAATATTTCCCCAAATGCTTAACGCCTACGTGCGACCTCCCGCGGAATATGCTATCCAGGCGGGGCAGCCGTGGCAGAAACAGGATCTCGTTGCTCTCGAGACTCCTCAACGACGGGCAACCAAGAACTTCAGAGGTCTCTTTCATCTGCCCTATCAGATTAGACTGAAATCTCTAAGAATCTACAGCAGTCTATATCGGCTTTTGCGGGGGGATCTCATAATGGTTTACCAGATTCTGAAGAACCCAAACCACATTTGCCGTCCGCTGCTGGAATTGAACCATAACACTAAACTAAGAGGTCACCCTCTGAAGCTGACCATTCAGTATAACCGGCTTGAATGCCGTGGAAATTTCTTTTCCGTCCGCGTGTGCCAGCCTTGGAACGCCCTCCCTAATTATGTCCGTTCTGCGCCCAAACTGGCGATATTTTAAAAAGTAGTTGATGATAAGTTGTCTCATTTACATTTATTTTAGGACTTGCTAGCCAGGGGCTACAAAACGCAATCAAACGGTTTGTTGCCAAACGTCTAACCAATGGATTTATACGTTTATTACGCAAACATCTCAGCTGTTGTACATAAGTCTATGGTGAGTCCACCACAATTATCATGCAATTCACTTTTCGCAATA